CAAATTCGTTGTATGTAAAGGATCGGAAAATTCGCTGGCTGCGGAGCAAAGGTATACGCATAGGTGAGCGAACACCTTTAATTACAATTTGTAATTACGAAAACAAAAAACGTTTCAGGCTATACACAACTGCGCATTCTTACAGTTACGATTGTAATCAACTTTTTCATAATAATTATTTCATTGTCTAAGAGTTCCCTGCGCTTTTGTTGAAACATAAAAGGCACAATTCTATTGTGCTCTAATTGTCCTTGTGAGACAATTCCATGTTTTTCATTACTGCAAAAACATGTGAATAACATAGTAAAATAGGGTTCATCTTACCGATTACCGAGCAAAAATCAAGATGCGATTTTTTACTCTTTTTACGATTAGTTATTGTTTTTATTACAAGGAGTATTACAAAATCAAATACTTTAGCTATGTCCTTAAAAAATTCTTCTCTAATAAAGATACAGCATAAAATCTAATATTTCTAATAATACTAACACCTACTAAAAAACAAAATGTTTTTTAATTTTCTCTCCACTCTATTACTTCAGTTCAGCGGGTCACAGCTTGAGAAATCTAATTAGCACTGGCCTTGGGCCTTGCCAGGCCACGTGAGCGGCCTCGCTGTAATCGCATTCCCAGGCCTCACGGGCTTCACTAATGCTATTGCAGAAATGAGATTCCATTGCTTTTTGATACTCCCCGGCTTCCAACAAGTTATAAAAAATAAAGTTAACGCGCAAATGGGAATTGTAGCGAAATTGCGTTACGAAGATTGGACGTGAAAACGTTTTCAACGAAATGGAGCGGCGTATACCTTTGTTGGGCATCCTTTGAAACGACGTCTTTACAGGGAAATGTAGATATGATAAATACGAGAATAAAGTTAGGATGTGTACAAATAAGGGGTTTTCAATGGTAACAAAAGCCTTCGTAGAATCTGTTAATATACTTTCTGAAGGGATCTTCAAAACTGTGGGTACTTGCTGTACTCTACCTTTTCTTCCAGTAATGATAGCTTTACTACTTTTACCATAGAGCCACTCTACAGTCTAGACTCCAATTTTTTGTCTTTGCGAAAATTTAATTAATATGAAATGGGTTTGGCATTTCATAGAGATACAGTTATTATTAAAAATAAACAATGGTTACCAATAAATGTGTATAAAATACTCGTGTCTTACAATTTAACTCACTAGTCATCTAGCAAGGCTCTCGTTACTAATCCTTATTTACAAGCTAAAAGAATTCTTTTAACACTTCATCTATCTACTGTTAAGTGTCTATAAATATTCAATAAAGCCACTATGAAAATCCATTGATTTACGATTTAAAAACTAACAGATGATTCTTGCATTACTATCGTGCAATATAAAATACAAGTTACTTACTTTCTGTCCAAGTTAGGTACAGACACACTTGTAACCTCATTTAGTATTTCCTCCGACTTTGTTACGGAATCTCTGAAGCTATATTATTTTTTGTGACATAATTTAAAAGTAATGTTTAATGCAAGAAGAGTTTACGTGTAATGTTTGAATATTTAGGTTATTGTCGTAGTTCACTTCACATCTTTGTGTAGGATGCGTCATAGTTTATCTCGAGATTAATTAATATTCGCAAAGTAGCGCATTCACATCGCGAGCTAATTTTGTTACAGCGCCATCTATTACCAACATTTGGCATTAAGCTGTCCGGGCCTTTCGTGAAATGTGGCTTCGTAGGATTACTCCTGATCATTTCCATAAAGTAACTAAGCAGTGGTATTGATTGCCATGCGCCTGCTGCCATGTGACCAAAGGGTTCCGTTCACGTGCCCACGTGACCCCATTGTCCATAGGATTCACGTGTTTAGGCCCATTATCCTGATAAATGGAACTTTATTTTGCGTTTGTGTTGCGTTTGCAGGTTATTGTTTTCATACCTGACATTGATAACAGTTGCTATAGGTAAGGGTTCTGCGAGAGATGGCCTAGCAGACTATTGCGAGGAGTATGAGCATTTTCCCTTCGTCGTATTGTATTTCAACTGGGGAATTTAAAAAAAAAATGTAATTTGTATTAACAAATTGACACCTGGTCCCGTGGTAAGCTAAAAATGCTTGTGTTATGGGTGGGGTCACTACAATAGTTCATTTTACAACTGTCATACTTCGTGCCACTTATATTAGAGTGTTATGTTTATATGCAATAAACTAATTGAGATGTAAGTCACTTTCGTTGCAAATTATAAACTAATGCACTTTGCTATCATATCTTCCTGCTACCCTAGATATCGACTTATTTTATTTCACTAGTAGAGTTTTATCCAGATTAAACGCTCATCGGCAATAAAACTCTTACTCAGCATTCGGTTTTAGTGGTGCAGTCGATAGCGGTCGTAAATACTTGCGTTGCCGTAAGCAAATAGAGCACGTTGTTTTGCGGTGATTCATTTTGAATGAGTTTCTAGACGGCACATCAGCCGGGATAACGATATAGGATGCGCACTGGGATAAAATCTTATCGACGATGACAAAAGTATGGGTTTATCGAATCGATAAATATCTCGATAAAAGTTTATTATTCTAGGTCTACGAGTAGGTACATGTTCAATAAATCGGTCTTATTATTCGTGTAATAGGGGTTACAGGGACATTATATTCGTGTATATGGACCGGGAAACTCAGTCACTTTTGTGGCTTTTGCCCTATTATTTAGCTTGTTAACTACAGAGTCAACGTAACCAGTCAGCAATTGTCATGGGCTTGCTAATTGGTGGTCTGTAGGCTACGACCGCATGCTGGTTTGTATTGTCATATTATGTTGTCATTATTATATTGGTTAGCGCGTTTAATGAAACTGAAGATATAGGTATAGTTAATAATGTAATTTAAACTTTACTTCTCTCTTTCTCTCAAAGAGACGTAACGATGACTTAAGACATCGCTGAAGTCCGAAAACTCCCTTCATTTCAAGCAGATATCGTACAATACAACCAATTACTGTTATTATCAAGTAGTTGTCACCATTGCCACTTATCTCAACGGCTCCTAGAAAGGTAGAGTACTTAAATAAGTAATCTGTGAGGGACTGGTCATTCTCGTAAACTTGTAAGGATTGCAAGATGGGCGTCACTTGTTTACAGTTATACTATTTATTCGTCCATTGATAGCGACTCACTCACTACAACAAGGCAACAAAGATCGCATTGAAATAACAAATCCTAATGAAAAGTAAAAGATCTATGCTCCTATTTCTCTAAACGGTTAGGTTTGCAGCTCTATCTGATTTCCAAACCCCACTCGGGTTTTCGAAGTCAGTTCGCCCCAAAGAAGACAAGATGCATATCAAGACGACATAATACTGTAATTTAAACTCTTAACTACTAACCATGTGTACTTAAGTATCTACTAACAAAACTCGATTGTCAACTGTAGTATATACCTAATAAATAAATAAATAAAATAAATAAATTTAAATAGTTTCCTAGAGCAACTTACCCCTGTTCCCAGTAGTTAAGTGTCAAGCTTAGCACGTCTTATCTCTACAGTAGGTAAGTATGCTCTCCTCGTACTTAGTACAGCCACGGGAGAGCAGCACTAAGAAGTACCGGAATAGATTAGGATCGTACCTCTTGCATAAACTATGAGAACTTGTTATGTAAAAAGCTGGAGGAATCTTCATATTGTATTTACAGACATTATTTTAGTTTGAAAGTTATTGCTAGCTATGAAATAATGCAAAAATAAATAAAGCGCTAGTCTACCATCTTAAAACGCAAAAAGGATCTATTATTTTGTAAGATTCGAGGAAAGAAAAGAATAAATATTTTGTGCAGCAATGTCTATTAGTACCTAATTAGGTCTCTATGCTATGCCTACTATAACCAGCGAACTTATTTAGAATTAAATGGCCCGTGTAATGTCACGCCTTTTTTTCTGATCCAGAAAATTTACGTGACTTGATTTGTATTAACAAAACGTTGGCACAACTGCCTTCTTCTGAAGGACATAATTGTGGTCAGCTTTGATATGTCCACTCGATGAATATCTGTCTAGTGAAGTCTTAAAACGAAGTCTATATCTAGGCCGTCACCGCTTTATGGAACTTCGAAGAGTTCGAAGTGTTCGAACTTCGCAAGTCCGTCCATTAGCGCAGCTTTTGCCGAGTATCGAACTTGCCAATTATCTGGCCAACTTTCTTGAAGGCTTTGATGACAATTAGGAGCAGTGCTTCTTCCTGGGCCACTTTATCTTGATAGATGTTAATTTATTGCGATAGAAGTAGCATTAGTGATCACTAATACAAAATCGCTAGAAAAGTAAGCTTGAATAAAATATCGAGAAAAAATATTACATGGGATGCAGGCCGCTACCAACCGTAATTCGGAAATCATTGAAGGAGGCCAATGTTCAGCAGTAGAGTCCTGTGGCTGCAATGATGATGATAATTACGGGCGATGAAATATTTGAAATCATCATCATCATCATCATCATCATCATCATTCCAGCCACAGGACGTCGACTGCTGAACATATTAGGCCTCCCCCAATGACTCCATGTTGATCGATTGCTAGGTAGCTGCCTGCGTCCAGCGCCTTCATGCTACCTTTATGATGTCATCGGTCCACTTTGGAATATTTGGAAAATACAGCTCTATCAATAGAGTATTTAATTTTGTCACAAATTAGGGTGTAGTTAATTATTTTAATTTATTTAATGTCCCAACAACTAAGTAACCCTTCACAAATTGTAACCTCACAATCAATTCTGGTTTTCAATTTGCATAAAGCTAAAATTTCGTTCGCAATTTCAAGCATCTCCTAAAATAACATATTAAAACTTCTCGAGGAACCCACAGGGGAATCCAGTCGAATTTAATTTCATGGCAACATGGCGCTAAGCGGAGTTCTTATACTCATTTATTTATTAGCTCTACAAAAAAAGAAAATAGGAATATTATTATTAAAATCTTAAGCCAAAAAAACACTTTTTTACTAAAACTCTATCTCAATAATGCTTATTAAGTTTAATGTTGAGACGCAACTGAAATATTTTGTGACGTATTAAAAACTATTACACAATAGCAAAACAACATTTTCATGAATGAATTTCAAATGCGGTATGACGTAACGCATACATGTTGAATATTGAATTAGTTTTCAAATGAAATTACGTAATGCTGACATTACATTTGCTTGTACCTACTTTTGCTTTTATGTACTCGTAGGTATGTAATATAATGTATTTTCAATAAATAGTTTATTCAGCAATAATAAGTCAATTACCCGTAATATCATCTTTTATATTAATAGGTAATTAAATAATTCAGTAGATAATAAGAATACAATGAACTGCGGCCAATTTCGGACTAAAGTGGTTGACGACCAATTTCTTGACACGTTGACACTGGTCAAAACTATTACATGGTTTAGGCGACAGGATGTTACAATAAAAGATCACTTTAGGATCACGTTTGAATGTGAAAGTCAAGGCATAGTCATATTGGTCATCATCATCATTTTCTACGCCTGATTCTTAGCTATTTTCCAACGGCTACCAGAAAATTATTCCGTTTTCAAAATATTTATTAATATTTTCGTGAAAAACATTGCTTTTCCCTTTTTATTAAGGTTCGGGCTTGACCAGGTTTGTGCTTTATTTATTGGTTCTTGCTTGCCCGAGGCGAAATGAACGCGCTATTAGTTTGCTATACGACTTCAGCCTTTCTAAATTATTGCTTTACTTCGTGTTTCAGGGATTGCAGGCATTTCTCGCCATATTTTGTTTTTAATTTTGAATGAGCAGCGTGAAAGATTGTAAATAACTCAAAAGACGCTATATTTGGTTTTAACGTTGAATTGCAATGTTCGTATGCCAATACTTTTTCTATATTTGATGTTTCTGTACGTAATTGATCACTTTGTAACATGTTCATGTAACATCATTTGTAATGTAACACATGAAGGCCAAGTGTAGGTAATCTACAAGTACATACTTGAGTCCCTATTAGCAATTATTTTGTACTTACGTAGTATGATTACAAAATATCAAGAGGATAACCTCGCGTCCTGCACACAGATTATACACAATTTGCATTAGTTGGCCATTTTTATGACCCACTGATAAAAAGCTTGATAACCCTAATCTACAAGCCGCGACAGACATTGCCTGTTTGTTTAAATACGTGGGTAATGCACGCAAAATGATAGGAATCAAAACAGTCCTTAGCCAGCATTTAATGTTACAACAACCACGATTAACAACGTCTCTCTAAAATAGGCAATAAGCTACAAATTAAGATTTAGCATTAGAACCCAGCAGAACCCCATTATCGCTGACAAATATTGACCCCGTAATGCCAACAGCCTTATCGCTTGCCAAGTAGCATGCCAGTTCAGCAATTTCCAGCGGATCGCTTATCCTTTTAAGGTGTGTCATTTGAAGCATCATGTCCCACAAAGCTGGTATAATTTCCGCGCTGAAGCCCACATTTTCAAAGATATCGCTCTTCACAGGACCAGGGCATATGGCGTTCACGCGAACTCCTTTCGAAGCAAATTCAAGTGCCACTGATCTTGTGAAATGATTGAGTGCAGCTTTAGACGTGCAGTAAGCGAATGCTTGTGCCATAGCTTGCTGTCCAGCCACACTGGAGATATTTATAATATTTCCCTTCGTTTCAAACAGGTGCTTGCCAGCTAGATGGGTCAGATATACGGCTGAGCGAAGGTTGGTCGCCATAATACGGTCAAATGCTGTCATTGCATCTTCCTCTAAGATGTTAGATGCTCCACCAACGCCTGCGTTATTGATCAGCACATCGAGCTTTCCATATTGTTTTAGAGTGTCGTCGATGATTCTTTGACCATCACTTTCTTTCGTCACATCAGCGACTATTACTAGCGGCTTGTTACCGACCTTTGCAATGTTTTCGGAGACATTCCTCAATTTATCCACTTTTCTTCCTACTATTGCTACATCAGCTCCTTCTTCAGCAAATTTCTGGGCAATCGCAGCTCCTATACCTGAGCTGGCGCCTGTTACCAACACCACTTTATTGTTAAAACTCATTTTAGTAATAATTTCCGTAAACGAACGGACACTCGTATAAACACAATTCACAAGTAATAAACTGATTAAGCTTATCTAATCGTCCGTTATTTATATTATCAATATCGATAATGCAGACCTCATGTTTTTATGTATTTAAATAATGTAATGTACTGCTAATAATATGAGTGTATCATACTGGTTTGACAGTTTCGTGTGAGGTCAATTACCTAGCTAGAGGAAGCAAAAGACATTAAACTGTCTGGCTAACTTCTTAAATACTTTCTATACCAATGGAAGAGACGTCTTGTGTATCATTTGTTTGTGCCTACATAATAGAAACTAGTTTTGTACCTCTCTGCTTGGACACTCTCTAATTAGTACGAAGCTCATTAAAACACTAATTAGGCTGCTGAAAGACAGCGAGTGGCCTGGGTATCGTAGAGAAGGCTTTCAATTAATCCTGATTTAATGGGAGTTGTTCCAGGAATTCCAGGAATCGATACAACGTTGAACACAATTTACACAATGTTGCACAACGATGTTTACAGACTTTACGTGATTCTTAAGTCATGTTGTTTTCTTTTGTTTTGTGAACAGTTGGAATTTTGGTTGTTGTAGTTAAAGCTTCTTAAAATTAGATTAACATTAGGTTTTTGTGTTAGTATAGTTCCTACTCTTTATAACGGTATAAAAAAATCAACTCTTTATAATAAGTATTAAGTTTATAAGAGACGATCATGCAAAAAATACCTTAAATTATTGTACCTAACTAAAGGGCGTTTTTTCAGACAAAGTTACAGACTATTCGATACTAAATTACTAGTAATTGACATAATGTTCAACCATTTTGTTTTGTTTGTCTACAGGGTGGTGCCAATGATGGCTGGCTGGTAAACTAAGGAAGAGAGGTCTTGAGGCGCGGATCTAAAGCCGACCTTACACCATGACGAAAAGGTTTGAGTTCAACTGGCAGATCCCAGTCCCGGAACCATTACTGCAGGTACTACTTCTAAATCTACTAATATTTACGTGATTTGGGTCAAAATGTTTGATTGTAGATTGTTACAAAAAATACTATTGATATTATAATGAAGTGGCTAAACTGGCCTTCAGCGTTTAACGTAATTTGTAATTTTGTAACCATTATGCGCAGTCAGTAAGAACATTTAGATCCCTGTAAGACCCTTTTATATTTTGGAATCGTTTCCAATCTTAAATCTAAAGTAATCGAGACGATTTTTGAAATTGCCCGAAGTATAAATCAGCTTAAGATTAATAGAGCAATTCAAACTGAGCGAACGACTTTAATCTAAAATTAAAGTCCATTTAGAGCCGATCCACTCAAATCTCAATGCTTCCCTTTGACGGTAATTCGCCGTGTCTAAATTAGTATCTAATTCTACCATGACAGAATTCATTTTCGCTCGCACGATGAGAAATCAATGTTGAAAAGTTTTGTCCAAAATCCAAATTATCTAAGGTAAAATAAAGCTGTAACAGAAGTTGTAACAATTAAGTATACTCAGTGAATTAAACAAAATGGACACCGCGGTTTACGAATCCAAATAATGCCATCTGTCGACAAACATAAGAAATAACATTCATTTGTAACCAATGAAACATTAATTTGATTTCAAACAATCTTATTTAAAAAAAGTTTTCGCGAAAAACTCATCAGTCTCGCTCACGCCATTTTTTATGTAGAGACGTATACCTAACATTGTATAAGTAAAATCGTTGCCTATTGTGAAACTTCCATTATAAGTGAAGACCTCTTGATAAATGACGCTGTTGAATAGAGCAACTAACATGATTGCCTACACATGATTGCCAGACACAAAATATAAAAACATCTCTTACCTATCCTACATAGATAGGTACTCAAATTAATAAGGAAACCAGCTACTGTATAAGCATACCTCTCACGTTTCCTCCATAAATCTAATAACATAGGGGCAGGAAATTTTTTTTAAGGAAATTGCCTAGTCATCATAAAATATCTTTACATTTTTCTTTAGTTAGAGTCATGGATAGATTTTGTAAAACTTCGTTTGCAGTTTCGTAGCTGCAAGATTTGCAACAGTACCTACTCGTTAATTCACTAACTAGAAAATCCGGACGGTGTATCAATACACCATATACCAGCCAAAAAGAGCAGAATTATTAGGTGGAAACTCCGTACGTGCGAGTTCAAAGCGAATATCGAGAAAGTTTGTTTTCATTTCCACCGTGTTTGCTCTTGGGTACATTTACCTGACTTTCTAAAGGGGTGTACGGATGGTAGACCATGTATGTAATGCGGAATAGGATTGTTTCTATCACAATTTTTTAACCCGATAGTTATCTTTGAGTGGAGCACATACTAGCTCGCAGAGCTAATGGCCGCTGGGGCAGAAAAGTTCTCGAAAACGTAGTGGGGACAAGCCCCCCAGGTAGACGGACGATCTGGTGAAGGTCGTGGGATGTGCCTGGATATGGGCGGCGCTGGACCGGTCGCTCTGGATATCCTTGTGGAGGCCCTTGTTCAGCAGTTGTCATTTGGCTGATATGAAGTTTATCTTTGTCATCATCATTTAAAAAAAATCCCGTCCACTTCTGGATAAAGGCTTCCTCCATCGGTATCCACAATGACCGATCTAACGCTGCCCGCATCTAGGTACTTTGCGCGACCTTCACCATATCGTCAATCCACTGATAACCTGCCTACATTACGTTTTCCTAAAGCTGGTATTCAAAACAAATCCGGAAGATAATGTAATACCTACTAATATATAATATATATACATAAAATTCGTATTCGGGCGTGGGTTTCTTAACTTTTACGAGCGATACCCAAATAAGACGTCAGTGTCAAAGGTTGAGGGTACTCTCATGGAAAGGTGCCTTAAATCAAGGAAGGCGGTGATGTTCACGGCGCTCATTCACTCGCGCGCGCTTATGTTGTGGTCCCAGTATAAGCGGATATCTCCTGCTTTATTTTATTTAGGTAAAAATAAGCTTTTCATAATCTAGTAGGGCTAAGGCGTTGATGATCATAGAGCTTTTTATAGTTAAAAAAAATACATACGGTGGAACATAGGACATCCTTTTTTTAAGCCGGTTAACAAATTGAAGTTCTAATAATACCCACGACAGGCGAAAACTGTAGAGCCATAAAAACAAAGCTTTCTTGAGAGATCACTATCTGTTGAAGTACTTAACTACTGATAACTATAATTACATTTTATAATTTCAATGAGAATGGCATAAGTACTGTGTGTGAGTATCGCTTTGAAGTAAGATTATTCATATAACACTAACTATATAAATTCTACGCTATAGGGTCTTACGTAGTATGTAAATAGGCGATATATAATCAACAAAATGTGATGTGCTGTTGTCTGTACACCCGGCCACACTGTTAACTATCTTTTTCCGTTTTTGCTCTCGCTCTCATCAAATGGTGATTCTTTGCGATAGAAATACACGACATGACAGGCAATGGATAGTTAACACTGTTGCCGATGGTACATATGTACATATAATACGTAGGTGCTTATTTTGTCCCACCTTTAAAATAACCTCTCTCGCCGCTAATACCGCGCTGCACCCTTTGGTAGCAGCTGAGCTCGTTCAGTCGCTCTGAAATAGCCGCACCAGCGGTAAACCTTCAACCTCGGGTATTTGATGTTTACAGCCGAGCATGATCGCACTATGGCCGCAATAGCAAACGCAAATTGTTTACGAACGAGTGCGAGTACAACTCTAGCGACTCGCGCCGCTAATGAAACGTTTGCGGTTTACAATCCAGATTTGTAGCTATTAGTTTGTGGTGAAAAATTTAAGTTGTTAACTGATTTTATTACCAGGCGTCGCTGTGCGCTGCTTCGCGTAAAAATCACCTCAGCATTTCCACAGGGATCTTTCTATGAAAGAGTCTCCCGATAAGTTAACGTGCGTTTATGTCCTACCTGAAAGAGTTATGAATTAAAAAAAACTAGAAACTGCTAGACTCAAACCAAAAAAATACCTAAATCTAGCTACAAGATAACCAACCAAACTAAGTGAGAAATTGGTATACAAAACAAACTCATCTCAGTCGATGATTGCATAGAAAATTATACAATACACCATTAGTTACACAGTGTTGGGAAATTATAAAACAAGTAATGAGTACTTTTATCTGTCTTCTCTTACAAAACGCTGACTTTTCCCTCTATAACAGTTTAGCAACTTTCTTCCCAAGTTAGGCCAACGCAATCCTCCACCTAAACATTCAATTATTTTTCCCTTGCAAACGGCACAGCTGACGCGGCTCAAATATTCTGGGGAACTGAGATTGAAGGGGGCGGGTCACATCTGTGGAATATCGGAAAACGAGGGAACTAATAATGTACGCGTTCCCATCACTGGTAATATCTAGATAGGCACCCAGTTTGATACCACTTTTAGTGGAGACACTGTAGTCTTGCGTCTTTCTATCAGTCTAACATTGCACGGTTTTAGGTATAGCTCTTCCTCACACACCTGAGCAAGCAAGCAGCCTTGAGTCATCATCATCATCATCAACAGCCCTTTATACCACTGCTGGACTATGAGCCTCCAACCCGCTTGCCAAGCGTGGGGATTATGAAAAACCCTCCACTATAGTGTGCCTTGAGTATTTTGCATTAAATGGCTCAAACTTACACTTAGGTCATCAGTCGATTGGGAGGCCTAACCTGCGTCTTCCAGCCCTTGTCGTCTCAAGAACTATTCTTCCTAACTGTTGCTGGTACTGCGAGCAATATGGTATGGCGTGTCTATTGCCGCCTTATCTTGGCAATTCAAAAATCACGCTATAATGAGGATCAGTACTGTTGTAGAAAATTCAATAAAACTAGTATCTACGTTAATCTTTAAGACATAAGAAAGATATATCTTTTTGAATTATCCAAATCGGACCATTACTTACGAAGATATTAAGTAATAAACATAGGCCGTTTTTGCCGCTAAAAGTCAACGTACGCAGGGCCGCGTGACGTCATTATATCCGAATCGAGCGCAGCCGGCGTACTATTGGGATGGAAAATATTTTTTTCCAGCTAAACNCCTCATTCATTTATTTAGCGTTTTATATATGTATTTATCGCTTAGGCCAGTAGAATTAGATTTTAAATCGGAAATAATTCCTACAAAAGATTTTATTGCTTCAATGGCTTCATTGGTTGCCCATTAAGACTCTCCTAGATTTTCGACTTCGACGTAGTTGTTTGTGCTTAAGTGGTGGGGGCCCTCGAAAGGGGCGCTTTTTAGGTTTTCCGGTTATACCACGTAAAGGACTTACTCTATCGAAAAGTGGTCTTCCTGACGGTTGAAGGGCATTTAATCCTGCATCAAATAAGGCCAAATTCATATGTTTTGGACGAGAACGGTTGGTTCTCGTGCAAATGTTCGGCAAAGTAGAAAATATGTTTGTAATTAATGACCCTCTCCACGTCCAATGGCTCGTTACCCGCAGGCTTCCAAGTCTTGAAAAGGAGCGCCTTAACCAGTGTTACCCTATCAAGGCTTACGAACTGGATGCGCCTATCCTTGTTCATCCCAGCCGTTCCTTAACTGCGGTTGCTGCACCTCTTCCTGGCACTCACCTAAACGACTCTGTGTTACCTACTGTGGCTACCCCTCTTCCTTGTATCCTCCTGGACGACTACGTTGCCTAGCCGTATGCCTGGTCTAAGGTTCGACGCCAAAAATCAACAACAACAAGTTCATATTAAAACGCTGAAGAGTTTTTTGTTTGTTTGTTTGAACGCGCTAATCTCAAGAATTACTAGTTTGATTAAAATAATTATTTTTGTGTTGAATAGCTCATAAATTGTGGAAGGCTATAGGATATATACAATCACTCTACGACTAATAGAGGCGAAGCGGTAAAGAAAAATGTTGCAAGCACGGAAAATAGTATTTAAACTATTTTCACGCGTACGAAGTTGATTTTGTGGCGTCGAACCTTTAACCAGGCATATGGCTAAGCAATGCAATTGTACAGGACGGTACAAGGAAGAGGGGCAGCCACATTAGGTAACACAAAGTCGTTCAGGAGAGTGCCAGGAAGAGGTGCAGCAAGGAACGGCTGGGACGAAAAAGGATAAGCGAATCCAACTCGTGAGCCTTGACAGGGTTACACTAGTTAAGGCGCTCCTTTTCAAGACTTGGAAGCCTGCGGGTAACGAGCCATTGGACGTGGAGAGGGTCATTAATTATAAACATATTTTCTACTTTGCCGAACATATGCACGAGAACGGTTTGTTAAAAACATATGAATTTGGTCTTACTTAATGCAGGATTAAATGCCCTTCGACCGTCAGGAAGACCACTTTTCGATAGGGTAAGTCCTTTACGCGGTATAACCGGAAAACCGAAAAACGCCCCTTTCCTTAAGCACAACTCCGTCGAAGTCGAAAACCTAGGAGAGTCTTTATGGGCAACTAATGAAGCCATTAAAGCACTAAAATCTTTAGTAGGAATTATTTCCGATTTAATTAATTTTAGTGTTTAATTCTACTGGCCTAGCTTTATTAACCGTAACATTTACATTCTTTTGAACTCGTGTGACATCACACACATTTATTTTGATCTGGTACATTACAAAGAAGACGTGGTACTCGTACTTCTGAACTCATACTCGTATAATTCACATGTCATGTTAAATTTTAAACGACTTCCTCTAAGTACAAGTTATGCAAAATTGTTATACACTCTCGTTGAAGTTCTGAAACTACTGGCGCTTTCAATTTGACAAGGCATTGTTAATGTACGTTACGGGAATACAACTCAATAACTACTGGCACGGCAGTTATTTTAAATAACTAGCGGCCGCCCGCGACTTCGCACGCGTGGATCCCGTTTTACCCCCTTAGAGGTTGAATTTTGCAAAATCCCGTCTTAGTGAGCACCTACGTTCTAAAAGGAACCCCTATGCAAAATTTTAGACTCGTAGCACTTGTAGTTTCTGAGATTTTGTGATGAGTGAGTCAGTCAAACCTTTCGCTTTTATAGACATAGATGTATCGTACAGAAATAATTGTTCTTTGTAAAATAATAGTGAACAAACGAAATAGAAAGGCTTCGAACGCCCATCAGTTCGCTACCGCCTGCCGCATAGACAAAGATGGTAAAAAATTACTAGTCTACTAGTTCAGGTAACTTGGCTCCGTTTCAAGTTTCAAATGCCGTCGGCCTAGCTCTAGGGCCATCGAACTATGAATGAGTTTAAGTTTCAGTGCCAGTGCCGACTGTCGACTGTCGAGTGACGCGATTTATGCGTCTAGTCACCAACAAATTGCGAGCAAACGAACTTTGGACGTCAATGTTATTGTTGAAACGACTGTTTATTTTGTAGTGTGAAGTAACTTAATTAACACTTTGTCTTCCCAAAACCTATTCAATTATTTTGCTATTTACGCGGACAATAAACTCTGTTTAGTTAGGGGTACAAATGAGATTAAATAATAGCCTGGCACACCTACGCAGCATCGTTATTAAACCTTTTTTTTATTTTGACAACATTTCCTTAATCGAGCTGGCTATAGTACCTACTTGGTTATAGTGTGTAGCAGTCATATCTAGATATGCCCCCGATAGTTAAAAAGGCGCATGTAAAAATTTTCAGGATTTGAGAAATTCCCATATTAATTAAGTACTGGAAACTTTTTTACCCCGTTTTGTTAACTTGCTACATCCGTATGCATGCAGCGATTTGGACGTGGGTTCGAATCTCACAGGGGACAATATTAATGTATTCCGCCTAAATTAGGAGAATCCTCTTAAAACTTTGCTGCCAAATAATTCAGGATTACAAAACGCTTACAATTCGACCCTTATAAGTTTTCATGTTTACTTTTCCGGCTACCCTGTCTTAACTTGGTAGGTATTCAGTATTTATCATTGTCAGAGTAAATAAAATGATAAACACCTCTTCCGAGAGACCTGGCAACTCGCCAAGACTATTGTTTCGAAACATAGTAATTGAAACAGAATTGATGAAAAAAACAACCTCGTATTTATGCACTATTTGAAACAAAACACATTTTCAAATAGACCACAGAAAACTGAAGACGAGGATTTTTTTAAAAATCCTTACTTCTTTTGTTCTATTTTTTTTTAAACTTTCGACTTTCGAACAATACTAATTTTCTTATGAGGATATGGATCCTTATTCACGGAATAAGTTTTTTATTGCTAAATATCATCCACTAACAGGACATAAGCTGCCAGTGTTTAGCGTGATTTTCTAATTTGTATGAATTTGTTACAGGGTGCTGTTTTCGACCGATGGACTGAAGAAAAGGACAACACCGAGCTTGAACAGAACTGCACCTTCAAAGTAGATGAATATGGATTTTTCATCTATTGGAAAAGTGACGGGAGGGTAAGTAAACGAATATAGCAATTTATAAATAGCTAAAGGCAAACATGAAAAAAGCTTATGTACAAACTAGCTGTCCTATTCGTCCTTCAGACCCATTCAGTCAGTTTTTCAGCCAACCAAAACATCTCGGCTGTCAAAAATGAATAAAAAATAAAAGTTCAGTGCTTACGAGAGTAACATGCAAACATACCGAGAAGATTTCTAAAAAACCAAAACCGTCATCTCTACTTTGCCTCAAAATAAAATTATTTTTTAGGCTACTGGAATAAATAGAGGCGACTATAATAATATTTTTCTATTAAGTAATTAGTAAGTGAACTCAATTTATCTCTATAACTGTCAAACGATTATACTTACTCGTAGTCGTCTTTCCTGTATAGTACAACTTATAGTAAAGATTTTGTAACCAAAAGAGTTCGTATCACATTATCCGCAGCTAAACCGGTGATACTTACGTGCGTTTGGTTAAGACGCTCGCACCAAATGGGGTTTATTTCACTTTGTTCTTTAAGAGGATACTCGGTATTCAGCCCCGATTCCGAAAGCCCCCGGCGAAATGGAATTTATCCTGGAAATCTAATTTTTGAAGACGTGAATGTTTTCTTTTAACTTTTTAGAGTTCGTTGATCTAAATTCGCATTCATTTAAGTTTCTGTATTTCTTCATTTATTAAAACTAATTGAGAAATGTGAGTATTATAATAATGTGATTTTTTTTGTGAAAGTTCCACTCATAGAGTCTCAATTAGAGACTCAAAAGACAAAAAAAACCGCAATATTTCAATGCAACAAATAATTTTAGATGTTTATTTTATTACTTAAAAAACTGGGTATTTTTACATTATTATTAAGCTTTAAACCCAAAATTTTAATACGGTTAAAACCTGCCTGACAACCTAGAAACCTTTACTTCATTCCAGCGTTTACCGCCAACAAATTCCCACCTAATTTATTAAATGCCACTGCATTTTCTCTATCTTAAAGAAGCGTAGCCTGGAATCCTTTGTGCCACTATCATCGTCCCAGATTCCAAAGAGACTAAGTACTGAATCGAGCACAAAACACTTCCATTTTGCCCAATTACACCGCGCAGCGCGGAACTAATTAAAACTGTCCGTTTTGTACACTTTGGCCCAGTCTCCTCTTTGTGGTTAGGACACGTCGCAAATGGACACTTCTTGTTAAACGATACGGTGTCGACTACGAACTTATTAGAACTATCTAGAGAATATTGACTGTGGTTTTTCGAGTTCGTAGTTTCTGAAGTAAAGTTACGCCTTTTTTATTTAGCAACATTTTGATTTTTATAAATCTTTTTAGCACCAGTCTATTATGTTGACCTGGAGGTAGAACTAATTATATTTATTCGAGATGAGCATGTGCCAAAATATTTTATAGGTAAATACAGTAGCGGCGTAAGGGGGGCTGCTTTGGCGGTCCGGTATAAATAATTTTAATTTTAATAAATCCATTCAGAACGATGTCAGTCATAAACACACACACAGTCTTTGGAGGACTGTTTCGCCTTGCAAGAAGATATAAAGCGATTGTGTGACTATTGTGTTAAAAATAGGTTATTTCTCAATATTGATAAATGCTGTGTAATCACTTATAGTAGAAAAAAACGTCCATTACAATTTAATTATACAATTTTTGGTCAAAATCTTAAGCGATCGACCGAGGTGAGAGACCTAGGCATAATACTGGACAGTGAATTGTTGTTTTCTTCGCACATAAACAAAATCACTTCTAAGGCATATCAGTTGTTGGGGTTTATTTTTAGACAAGGTCGCGAATTTACTAGTGTCTATACTCTAATACTGCTGTATAATGTCCTGGTCAGATCACAGCTCGAATATGCGTCGACTGTCTGGAATCCCCAGTATCTTATATATATAAACTCAATTGAAAAGATTCAAAACAAATTTATACGGAGAATGAGATATAAATTTCGAGGAGACTTTGATGCTGACAGCGTTGTGTCTCTTGCTTTGCGAAGAGAACACTGCGATCAACTTTTATTGTACAAAGTTGTTAATGGCTATGTTGACTCGCCCTACCTTTTGAGTAAGGTTTTGTTGCGATGTCCGAGAGCGAACATGAGGTCATGCGATACATTTGCCATTTCTTCTTGCCGTACTAATTATGCGATGAACCGATTTATTCTAAGATCAATGAAATTGTATAACTCCAAATACTGTCACTTAGATATTTTCAGCCTAAAACCAAACAAATTTAGGTCGTTGTTAAAACAGTAATTACCTAACTATTTATTGTTTTAACAACGATGTGATATTTCGAGTTTAAATTAATTGCCAAGTCATAGTATATTTAACATAGAATCTAAAAAATTTGTTTTCTTTTTCTGTTTCTGTTTACTCAATTTTTAAAAACGATACCTATGCATAAACTATTTGTGAAAACTATTTTGGCAAATGTGAAGTTTAATTGGTAACTCTATATGTGTTATAGAATGCTGTTTGTTTTCCTAACAATAAAATAAAAATAAAAATAAAATAAAGTTAAACTACTAAAGCCACCAAAAATGTGTTTTTCCCTTCCTTCTGCCCTGTTATTCCGATAGTTGTTCGTTTGTAACGTAAAATATTGACACAAAACTTTTGTGCCATTTTGTGTCCAGCGCCTAAATCTATTGGTTGTCCAGTTCGCCCCAGTCTCCCCTGCGGCTAGTTAGACCCACATACGTAGATCCTCTTTGCTTTGACCGCTCGTTTTCTGGTTTGCGGTGGTTCCATTCGTTTGTACTAGGCACTTGAACTAAGTTTTCTCTCTCTAGTAATTGAGCACATTCAGACTTTTTGAACTGAAGCACCATGTACCTAATGAAATGCTTTAGGTGTAACTTTTATAATAAAAAGAAGTATTAATATTATCAACAACATCGTTTGTATTTACGTACACGAACCTAGTTATTTTTCTAATAAAAGTAAGTTAATAGTTTTGTTTAATAGTAGTATCCCATCCCAACTAATATTATAAATGCGAAAGTAACTCTGTCTGTCTGTCTGTCTGTCTGTCTGTCTGTCTGTCTGTCTGTCTGTCTGTCTGTCTGTTACGCTTTCCCGCTTAAACCTCGCAACCGATTTTGATGAAATTTGGCATAGAGATAGTTTGAGTCCCGGGAAAGAACATAGGATAGTTTTTATCCCGGTTTTTGAAACAGGGACGCGCGCGATAAAGTTTTTCTGTGACAGACAAAATTCCACGCGGACGAAGCCGCGGGCGGAAAGCTAGTACATTATATATCTGTGCTTTCATGAAAATTCTCAAAGGCTTTGGTTAAATTAATATCGATATATATGAAATTAATTGCATATTTCAGCGACACAACATCATTTACATAAGGCTCTTTCCTCACAAATCACAAACAGGGAATTTACATTCTCCACCCAAGCTGTTTATTTCCCAACGACTGGGCCAAGTTATGCATCTTTAATATGCAGGAGCTACCAAAAACAGGAGCATTTTGAACCGTATTCTGATGAGTATAAGGAAGTTTTAAAATGGCAGGGCGTTAGGTAATCGTACTGAAAATATGCCATGACTCTCGATAAGCAAAAGTGAGCAAGGAGGTTGTTAACATGGAAGTTTGGGATAGGTATACCTACCACTGTATTCGTAGTATAATTACACGTTAATTAAACTTATTTCATACCATCAGGTATGCTTTTTTTTTTAAATTTAGATTTCCATTTTATGAAATAACACTACATGGAGAACATACACAAAATTGTGACCTAAAAATTTAATGAAATGTTTCATTAAATTTTTTGGTCACGTCGTTTTGATGTCAAAACTGAATATTTAATAATGACTGTTGCCTTGTTTATCTTTTATAATGTCACAATAACAATAACTTTATATATTTTACTTTACAAGAATAAATTTTTAATAAATAAAAATGACCAAAAATTTTATCCCAGTGTTACACACGATCAATAACGATTTCGTATGTCTGTTTATCATCACAACAATAAATAACTCACTTATGTCAGTTTATTGTAGGGCATTTCCTTAGCTCCCGTTAAGCCGTGCAAACTTAAACTATAGGTATTGTAGTTAGGTATACCTACTAAATATTGAGTAGAACTAGGTAGTTTATGCAATACTTAACTTATAATAAAAAATAAATAAAAACAAATACACTCGCACATAATATACACTCACACACAATATCACACTCACATTCAATATCACACTCACACACAATATCACACTCACACACAATATCACACTCACACACATATGTGAAATTTCTAATGGACATTTTTTGAAAGCTTAATTTGTTTTAGGCACGAATTACATAGCAGACTTGTTAATGTAGGTATACATATTTCTTTGTTTCTTGGCAGGGATGAAGCCTGGTAGCCCAAGACACAGGTCTTTCCTAGTTTGGGTACCAGTCTCCCATATACAATATTATAGCATATCTGTGTATAAATATACTTAAAGGGAGAAATAAATAATTTATTATTATTATAATATGTGAGCTCCCAACTGTAAACGATTTTTATGGCTATTCTTTCAGATTTGATGCGGTGGATTGCTTAATACAATGCGCAAGTACATAGTTTCTACATTAGAAGTTGCGTTACGTTATGCTTATTGTAATAAATTATTACTATGTAGGTATAACCTACGTTAGTTTAAGTCGATATAGGACATCGTATAAGTAAGGCCAATAGCCATTATAATTACAGTGTCCTCTATATTAATGAGGACAAGACAAAATATTGTTATTATTAAGTTACCGTAACTTAATATTTCCAAGTTCGTAGACCCCTGAATCACATTTTCTTTGAGAGAAAACGGAAAAGTTGTTACCAACGCGGAAAACATATTTATTTCTGTCTTATTCATCGACTTAATGGATAGTTATGTACTTTTCTTTCTGTCTCTACCTACCGAAGAGATTTTTCCACAAAGCTAATTCTTGTTCTTTCACTATGCTTAGATCTTTAGAACTGCAACATATTTTGA